GACGTGTGCTCTTCCGATCTCCCCAAAACCCCAAAACCCCATCAATGTCACTTTATGTAAATTTGTAGCATACTAGTAAATAAATTTAATAAGTTAAGTTAAACATAACAATAAACTAAAATAAAATGCAAGACTTACCTATTTACAGTGAAACCAATATTTTCATAAAGAACACTCCTTAAATTTTATCAGTAGAATATGAACCTCAAGGCTTTCCTATCCGTAAGTTTAATATTCTTATCAATATTATATAGAAGACGTGCTTATTGGAAGCTCTGATCACTCTTAATCAGAAATTATCCAGGAAGAGAGACATGATTATCTTGAGAAAAATATTTATCACCCTGATAACTCAATGCTGTGCAATAGTTTAAATCAAAATTTCCTAAAGATTGGCGTCGAAGACATATGCTCGAATGACGTAGATGAGTTTGAGCTCTAATTCTTTGATGAATACCAAATGCTAAGAGAAAAAGAGAGCACTAAAAAGCTACAAAATCATAATTCGTAATAGGAGGGTAAAGAAAGAATGGAAAATGAGTACAACTCTAGCGGGGAAAGTGGGGCAGATTATTCAAGTCAATAAAAGGTAACACTCTTGAAATAGCAAATTTTATCAAGCTTTATCGAACTTATATTTACAGATTTTTTAGATGAGCTGTGAATGGAATACTAAGGACCCTAGGGATGCCAGTTAAGATAGTTCAAATGAAGAGTAATCTGAAAAAGATGGCGATGGAAATGGAAATTCAAAAAATTGCGGAAGATGGACAGATGAAGAACACAACAGATTTTTGGAAGCACTTAAGTAATTTGGTAAAAATTGGAACTCTGTTCATAAGTACGTGGGGACAAGGAGTAGCGCACAAACTAGATCTCATGCTCAAAAGTACTTCAATAAATTAATGAGAAAAGGCACTGAAAAAGCCAGAGAAGAACTTTAGCTTTTAACCAGAAAAGATTCCTTAGTAAAATCAACTCTAAACAATCAAGATGAATCAACAATTGATAACAGTGCACACTAATTAAGCTCATCAAATGCAAATCAAAGTAGTTTTCAAGTATCGCCATCCTCCAAAAATAGTCCCTTGCCTCGAGTCTCCTGTAGTGAAAATCTCAACATCAAAGTTAACCTTAGACCGAATTCAGGCCCTCAAATTTAAGAAAACTTCATAACAAGCACTCAGGAGGAAGACTATGCAGATGGAGATGAATCTATGGAGGGAGGCTCCTCAGAGACAAAAGTTAACCAAACCAAGTCTAAGAAAATTAAAAAGAAGACATCTTAGATTTTCTCTAAATCTCCAAAGCTCACTCATTCCACCTCATCATCATATCCAGTATTAAATAGTCAACTTGCTAAGGACTTATTCAAAGATAGCAAAAAGCATAAAATATAAGCAACTCTAAAACTTAGAAAAGACTCAATTGTCTCTGACAAAAAGAAAGAGCGCGCTTTATCTAAATTATTCGAGGTTGTTAAATGCACAAATTAGGCAGATGCTATTCAATTCCAAGAAATGAGTAGTATTTAGATGTCCCAAGATCAATAATAATCAGGATATCTAAAACAATCCTAGAATATTTATAATTAAGCATGCTTTGTAAATCAAACTAATGTCTCAATACACCAAACTCAATAGATGAGTGACAGTTAAATGAGCCATTAATCCAACACTTACATGTAATCAGTTTAGTAGACAACTATAAATCCATAGTTCTTGGCTGATTAATTCAATAAATATCAATTAGAGGCCTATCCTATCACATCAGCAAATACAAACAGCTCACCACATTAATAGCATAGTTACTAACAGTAATAAATGTAGCAATACAATCAGCAAGTTAATTGTAACTACTAGTCATTTACCGCCAACATCAACATGAATTACCAACTTAATAGTAACAACTTCATGAGCGAATTTGAGCATTAGAACAACTTAAATCATATAAATGAAGATCTCATGGAATAAGTAGCTACCAAAAACATCAGAATAAGAAGTTAGACTATGATACCTGCTCATTAGGATGCAGGTCTTTTAGTAGGCAATGATTGTTTTGAGAAATTTGATTATCCGATGATTAGCAACTAAATTATCCCAACTAGCAACCTAATAACTGGGTGTATTTAATAGCAAGACTATATTCTTCCCCAAAATAGTCTATACCACAACCCTAGTCATCACAATCATCCAATGGAAAGTGGTCATTTTGAATATAATCTCCATAATCACATGGTCAGATCTGTCAGTGATGTGGGTATGAGTGGAAATTTTGATTTTAATCAAAATGAGTTCCTAGACTTTGAGTAAGACATCAAGCACAACTGAGTGTATTGCTTGCCCTATACAGAACGCCTACTTGCTTTGCATATTGAAAATAGCTGCTGATATTTGTTTAAACTTCTCATCTCAATCATAAGAAATATAGAGTTCATTATATGTTCTCTCACTCTCATCTTAATTAATCAAATCGTATTAAATTTTATTCAGTTGTCCAGCATCTTATTTTACTCAAATCACATTAACGTCGGGGTTTTGGGGTTTTGGGGAGATCGGAAGAGCGTCGTGT